TCCCCTCTCTCTCCTCTCTCTCTCTCCCCTCTCTCTCCTCTCTCATTGAGCCCAGAGGACTTCATGCATGCTAAGCAAGCACTAAATTACAAGTTAGGCTGCAATATATGTATATCTCTTCTTTCTTTCCTCTCTTTCCTCTCTCTCCTCCCTCTTCTGTCTCTCCCCACTCTTTCCTCTCCCCCCTCTATCTCCCTTCTCTCCCTCCTGTCTCCCTGTCTTTCCCCTCTACTCCTCTCTCTCCTCTCCCCTCTCTCCCCCCCTTTCTCCTCTCTCCTGCCTCTCTCCCCCCTCCTCCCCTTCTCTCCCCCACTCTCTCCTCTCTCTCTCTCTCTTCTCTCTCTCCTCTGTCTCCTGTCTCCTCTCTCTCCTCTCATTGAGCCCAGAGGATTTCATGCATGCTAGGCAAGCACTAAGCTACAAGTTAGCCTGCAATATATGTATATGTGTATCTCCTCTCCTTCCTCTCCCTCCTCTCCCCTTCTCTCTCCCCTCTCTCCCCTCCTTGTCCCATCTCTCTCCTCTCTCCTCTGTCTCCTCTCTCTCTTCTCTCTTTCTCCCCTCTCTCTCCTCTCTCCTCTTTTTCCCCCCTCTCTCTCCTCTCTTTCCCCTCTCTCCCCTCTCTTTTCCCTTTCTCCCCTCTCTCCCCTCTCTCTCCTGTGTATTGAACTGGGGGGCTCTAGGCCACTCAGCCTCATTCCCAGTCCTGTTTTGTTATTTAGAGACAGCTGAGGATAGAACCTGGGTCTTGCCCCTGCTAGGCAAGAGCTCTGCTGCTGAGCCACAATCTCAGCCCCATAATATTGTCTCTTAAGCACACTATTTGATAGTCTTTTACAATTAGAGTTAGACAGTAGTTCTTAAAATTGGAGAAGGGAGAGTTTTCATAAACTTTTTGAAAAATTCACCAAATATAACTCTTTCCCTTTAACCCAGAAAGAATGTCATTCACAGTTATTGTATTTGAAATTTATTTCAGTGTTTTCCTTTTTAAAAAATTTGTTTTGATTAGTTATACATGATAGTAGAATGTATTTATGCACTTTGATATTGCAATATATTTTTAAAGTTAGCAGAAACAGGTGAGACGCTTGAATCATATTCTTTGTTTCTAGTTTTTTATTAGGAAAGATGACCAAAATTTTTTTCTCAAAGAAAGTGACAGACCAATTGAATTTGATTCTATTTAGAAACCACGTGGGTTTTTCTATAACCTATGCCCTGCGGAAATGAGTCTGTTTCTATTAAACTCTGGGATTGTTTACCTACCTATTTTTATTTTAGGTGATGCAAAAACTTTCTGGATGGAACTGGAAGATGATGGAAAAGTGGACTTTGTATTTGAAAAAGTGCAAAATGTGCTACAGTCACTTAAGCAGAAGATCAAAAATAGGTCTGCCACAAATAAAGGTATATCAATATGCCTAATGTTGCCACTGGCAATACTGTGTAATTCTACTTCCAGCATCCTTTGTTTTAAAAGTAAAATAATTTTTATTTGTTTTCTGACAACCTAATATTTGTCTGTTTGCTCTTTTTTGTGCCCCAGGCTAGGAAAACTGTGGACATTTTGTAATAATGGATGACTCTGATTACTTATGAGAAATAACTACTGAATTTATTTGAATTTATTTATTCTCATATCAAGCTAACTCTTTCTTTTTTTTTTTTTTTTTAGAGACAGTGTCTCATTAGTTGTAGTCTAGCCTTGAACTTCCATCTTCCTGCCTCAGTATTTTTAATAACTGGCATTACAGGTGTGTGCCAGTGCACCCAGCAGGACACACAGTTTTAAAGCAAAAATTTCCCCAACTATTTTTAATACTTTCTGGTGACATTTCTGTTCTTAAGACATTAATTTACTATTAATGTACATTTACTATTATGTATTAGTAAAAACAACATAGTACTGTTTTAATATTCCTTTTCAAGCCTTCATAAGTCAGATAAATGTACATTTGAATCCATTTCCACCACCTCTAGCTGTATGACCTAGAATAAATAGCTTAGTCCATGAGCCTCAGTTTCTTTGTCTCTAATGCATGTAATTATAAGAACCACTTAGACTGGGTATGCTGGACATACCTTTAACCCCAGCAATTTGGGAGGCTTACTCAGGAAGACCACAAGTTCAAGACCAGCCTCTAATCAACTAAGTGAGATGATCTCAAAATAAAAAGTGCTGAGATGTGGCTCAGTGGTTAAGCACCCTTGAGTTCAATCCCCAGTCCCCTGCCCCCCGAAAAAAAAAAAAAAAACCACTAAGGAGAGTTGTGAGGTTAAATGAGATAAAGTATGTAAATTTTCAACATAATTGCTGGTATTGTGAATAAAGGTGAGGATGATGCTGATTATTTTCATTCCTTTTTCCCCTCCTTGACAGAATATATACAAGCAATGATTTTAGTGAATGAAGCCACTATAAGTAACAATTCAGCATTAATCGAGGGTATGTACTTTTCTTATCCTAATCCTAGAATATTCTCTGGTATTTTCTTGCCATGAAACAGGCTACCTTTATGTCAGGTTAATTAAAGTAAAAGATTCACATTGCTAAAATCAGTTTCCTCTTTTAAATGAAAAATATTACCCATATGTAGATAGGGAAGCCAAATAAAATTCTGAGACTCTAGGTCAGTATAAACCTGCTTTCTGTGAAGAATACTACTGGAAAGGTATATTCTGGTATTGGTGAGTAAGTGGATAAATTTTCAATTTCTAAATTGGTATGAGACAATCAGTCTTCCAAGCTCTAAACAAATTCAGTTTAGAAGAATCAAAGATAACATACTAAAGGAAAACTGTTTCTGTATTCCCAACACTCTGATTCCAAATGTGTGTGTTTTCCATACCATATAATTGCCCCATGTTCTGTGGACACTAATAATATGTCCTACAATTTAATTGATTTCTGATACTAACTGTCAAGAGTTAGTGTAGATTGCACAGGATAAAGGCTGAGCCCCACAAGATTTGCCCCCTACTTTAAATGCCATTCACAAATGCTTCTGACTGATTTAACTACTGACTTGGCTATAGATCAGGGATCCTCACAACAGTTTTCTCCTTGGGTTCAATAATTTTGCTGTAATGACTCATGGAATTCAGGAAAATGTTTTACTTACACCAGTTTATTGTAAAGGATACAAATGAACACCCAGATGAAGAGTTCCATAGGGCAAGGTCCAGTCTAGAAGGACACCAAGTGTACCAGTGGTGTTATGAGGTGTACCACCCCGCTAGCATGCGGATGCTTTCATCAATCTGAAAATTCTCCAGACCCCATTATTTAGGGGTTTTATGAAGGTCTGATTACATATTCACAAATGATTGGATTATTGGTCTTTGGTGGTTGACTCAATCTCTTGCCCCTCTACATTCCCTGGAAAAGGAAAGCAAAAGTACTGAGGGCTGAAAGTTCCAACTCTGTAATTGTGCTTTGGTCTTTCTGAAGACCAGCCATCATCCTAAAGCTCTCCAGGGACTGCAGTCACCAGTCATCTTATCAGCATTCAAAAGACACTCATCACTGGAGATTTCCAGGGTTTTAGAAGCTCCTGTGTCAGGAATCAGGAACTAAGAGCAACTATTAAAACAGAAGTGCTCTATCATCGTATGCTTAAGGTAATACAAGGGTTTAGGAACTCTTGTTAGGAACTGGGGCAGATCAAGTATATACTTTTTGTTGTATAACAACATGTACTAAGACTAGAAAAAAGTTACTTTTATCAGAATTACTATTCCATAAATCTTAGTGTATCACTGTCCCATTTTATAAATCTTTATCACAAATTTGCTAAAATGTTGAGAAAGTACAACATTTACTGGATTTTAATACTGCTGGGTATTATTAGAAAAATTTATTTTTGTTTCACTGTTAAGGAGCTTAAGACCTTTAAGTCTCTGAAAATGTAGTCCAACATCACTGGTCTGTTTTAAAGACCCTTTTTGTTTTTCTTAAGTATTCACAATTTCAGATAGCTAAAAATATCATTTTGGGAGAATAGGTTCTTAAAGAAAATATCCTCCTTTCACAGTATCCTTCAATAATATTTGGATTCATAGGGGAGGAAAATTTTTTTATCTCAGTGCCTGCATGGGAGCTGTGTATTAAACTGGCAAATATCAGATTAACAGGAAAAAAGGCATACAGGTATAAACTCTTTTTTTTACATACATAGGATCATCACAGAAAGAAGTGGCTACCCACCCAGGTACTGTGGTGCATGCCTGTAATCCCAGCGGCTCAGGAGGCTGAGACAGGAGGATGGAGAGATCAAAGCCAGCCTCAGCAAAAGCAAGGCGCAAAGCAACTCAGTGACACCCTGTCTCTAAATAAAATACAGGGACTGGGATTGTAGCTCAGTGGTTGAACGCTTGCCTTGCATGCGTGAGGCACTGGATTCTCAGCACCACATAATAAAATAAAGATACTGGGGCTGTGGTTGTGGCCTAGTGGTAGAGTGCTTGCCAAGCATGGGTGAGGCACTGGGTTCGATCCTCAGCACCATATATAAATAAATAAAAATAAAGGCAATGTGTCCATTTACAACTAAAAAAAAATATTTAAAAAAATAAAATAAATAAAATAAAGATACTGTATCCATCTACAACTAAAAAAAATAGTTAAAAAAATACAAAAATAGGGCTGGCCATGTGGCTTCATGGTTGAGTGCCCCTGAGTTCAATCCCTGGTACCTTAAGAAAAAAAAAAGAAAGAAAGAAAGAAGTGACTACCCAAAACAGCAGTGAGATTTGAGAGCTTATTATGCCATCATAATAGGGGAAAGGTAAGAGTGAGGGAAATGACTTATTAGAAGTGGGTGGGAGGAACCAGGCATGGTGGCACACTTCTGTAATCCCAGTGGCTCTAGAGGGTGAGACAGGAGGGGACTGCGAGTTCAAAGCAAGCCTCAGCAATGGTGAGGTGCTAAGCAACTCGGTGAGACCCTGCTGTAAATAAAACACAAAATGGGGCTGGAAATGTGGCTCAGTGGTTGAGTGCTCCTGAGTTCAACCCTAGTACCCACTCCCAAAAAAAAGTGGGTGGGAGGGAGAAGAGACACTTAGGAAAGTACAAATGACTCATGAAAGTCATTTGAAAGGTAAATGGGTCCTGAGGAGAGTAGATGGGAGATACGATCATTTGTAACAATGTCTGTCTGGATATAGTGCCACCTTTTCTCTGCTGTCTTGTGATGTATTCTTGGTTGGTACAACTCCTGTGAATTATGATAACTTAATGGATCTGTTCGTTTTTGTTTTGGAGAACGTGTGTGTAGACAGAGAAAGCCTCTTACTGCAATCATTGATTCTCAAATGTTTTTAGCTCAAAGTATTTTCTGTGCCACTGTGGTACATCCAGACCCTTTCAGAATCAACGTACCTTAAGGAATTATATTAATTTTCTAAGGGAGAAGCTTTTAAATGCAGGAGATGATAACAAGAAACTAATTGTAAACCATTTTTTCCCTTTGAAACAACTTATTTTCTGGTAAAAATAAATTGAATTTTTGTTTGGGGTCTTTTAAATCAATAATTTCATCAGTAGTAATACCAAATATTATAGTTGCATTTTTTATATAGATAGTTCTTCTGAAATGTAACCTGTTTATTAAAAGTATGTCTCTTTGCCAGTGGCGGAGAAATGTTTAGGGAAGAATTATGTAATTTACATTGTTAGCTTATGAAAGTATTAAAAACTTGGTGATAATAGATGTTTCATGCTAGCATTTATTTTTTTGAAAAATACTGAGACTGAGAGAAAAGAACTTGGTGTCAAAGTCATAATAAGCCATCTGGGATTGAACCTGGACTCCCTAGACTCCTTAATAAACCACCAATCACCTTTATTTTTTTGCTTCTATATAACTATATATTTTTGCAGTGTCCCCATAAAAAGATTAGATTCTGTTTTCCTTGAATTATTTCCCATTACTTCCTCATTTAATGATTAATTTTAAATCTCCATGTTTTCATTAACTTCTACTTCAGCTATGCATATATGTTTGTTTCATTTGTATTTGCTAATATGATTTATGTAGCTTTTATAAAGAAATTATTTGAGGAAAAAAAATCAGAAATCCTTAACTTGTAAAATTATTTAATTTCTAGTCAGTTATTATGGATTTCTTTGGCTGTCATATTTTTTCAGCTTTTTTCTTTACCTTGACCATTAAAATGGGATATTTGTTTTCCAGTAAGCCAAGGAGAAGCCTTGGAATTTAACTTTAGATATTATTTTAAATTTTTATTGCTGTTGTTTTTAGTAAGACTAAAGAACTACTTAATCAAACTTCAGTTAGGCATGAGAACCTTCTCCTTGGCCCATATTGTTCTTCTTAAAAATATAATTTTAACAAAAGCTTGCCCCCCATCCTTGATATTTAATCGCCCTCATTATCTAATTAGGTTCCTCATCTCCCACCATCTCTGTGATATGTGACCACTGGCCTGTTTTCATCAAGAATCCTGTTGGGTTGGTTTATTCAGAATCCTCTTTAGATGCTTTGTGTTTCCTCTTGGTAATTTTCCATCCATTGATTTCATCCTGATCCTTGATTATTAATTCCCATTTGCCCATGCTATATTCCGAACTGAGCCCACTTTCCCTCCCTCACTGGAAAAATCACACTGCAATGGTCCTTATGCGGATCTCAGTGGGTCATAAATAGAACATTTTATGGTGCTTCAGCATGTATCATTGAACCCAGGGATACTCTATCACTAAGCTACCCCTCCAGCCTTTTTAAAATTTTGAGATAGCTCTTCCCAAATTTCTGAGGCTGGCCTCAAACTTGTAATTCTCCTGCCTCAGCCTTCCAAGTTGCAGGAATTTCAGGAAGGTGCTACTTTATCCAGCTGATTAATTTTTTCTTTAACAGCAAGTTAACAGTCTAGGACAAGATACTTTTTTCCTTACAGTCCATTTGTGCATAGGAAAAAACACATTAAGAAAAATGTTTACCTTTTTTTTTTTTTTTTTCTTGGGTGGTACTAGGGATTGAACCCAGGGCCTTGTGCATGCAAGGCAAGCACTCTACAGACTTGAGCTATATCCCAAGCTCAAGAAAAGTTTTTAAGCCAAAGAATAGCCCACATACTTTACAGAATATGAACAGGGAATCTATAGCTTTTTGTCAACAAATGTACAGCTTTATTTGTATATTATAGACACGTTAGAGGGTAAGCTTATGAAGTATAGAAATTAGGGAGAAATAGAGTACTTATGTAGCATGTGCAAGTCCAGGGTTTAATCTGCAGCACTGCCCTCCCCCTGCAAAAAAATGAGATAGAATTAATTGTAAAAATATGTATGAAGAAATATTAAAAGAAACAACCGAATACTTCAACCTCTGCTTCCACAAAACAGTTGTAGAACAATGAAAAGACAAAGGATGTGTAAATTTCCCATTTTGTGATCTCCTATAAGCCTTGAAGAGCTATGCTACTTTCTGTAAAATATAGGTAGAGGCAGGGATACTTGATGTTCACATTAAAGTTGATTAAAAGTCAGATCAAATTAAGCCAAACTAGTTTCTTTAAGATTTATTTTTTCAACCCTCTATTTTTATGTGCTAAGGATCAAACCCAGTGCCTCACACATGCTAGGCAAGTGCCACTGAGCTAATAGCTCCAGTCCATAAACTAATTTCTTCAGAAGAAATATCTTCTAAGTTTTAAAATTTATCCTATGTTATTTTCTTAACACTTCTAAAAATTATACCTAATCTTTTGGCTCAATTTTTTTTGGGTGGGCTTGGGGTACCAGGAATTGATCTCAGTGGCACTCAATCACTGAGCTACATCCCCAGCCCTATTTTGTATTTTATTTAGAGCAGCGTCTCATTGAGTTGCTTAGCACCTTGCTAGTTGCTGATGCTGACTTTGTACTCAAGATCCTCTTGCCTGAGTCTACTGAGCCACCAGGATTACAGGCATGTGCCACTACATCCTGCCTTAGAATCTTGAAATCATAATGTTTGCAAATTTTAGGGTTCTATATGGGCAAAATTTCTATTTGATGAGAGATTATTTGGAATTTTAGTGAATGATTTTTAAGTTGGTATAATTGTTGCTTGCATTTGTACTTTTTTCATGTAGATCATAAGCCTGTGACTTGGAATGAACTAGAAAACAAATCAGATGCGTTTTCCTCTACATCATATGAAAACTTCTTCTCACCAGACTGTACATTTCTGTATGTATATAAATTATTTCTTAATTCTTTTCCACAGAATGGATAAAATATATAATAATAAGGTTTTTTCTATAAAACTTTAAATGTTGCAGATTTTAATATTTTATGTAGGTTTTGAAGTTTCATGAGTCTCTTAACAGGTTATTTATTTAATATCCGTGGTATTCCAGTCTTACAAAATTTTGCTTAAAATGTATCTGTATTTTATTAATACACTGAAATCAAGTTGGCATTGGTTTTAGATCTTTTAGTTTTTGTTTTGGTTTTTTTTACATAGCGAAATTATTTAGAGTATCAAAAGGGGTCATTGTTTGTTTGTTTTGGTAGTAGGGAGGGTAGCACTTAACCACTAAGCTACATCTGCAGCCCTTTTTTATTTAGAGACAGAGTCTTGCTGAGCTGCTTAGGGTCTCTCTAAGTTACCAAGGCTGGCTTTGAACTCAAGATCCTTCTACCTCAACCTCTGAGAATATAGGTGTGTGCCACTGTGTTTGGTTGAGTTCAGTTTTTGAAATGCAATTTAACAGTTCTAAAAAGAAAGTAGTGTCAAAAAGTTTTGGGGAATAGGCTAAATTTTTGTGACCTTTCTTTTTACTCTTATCTCTAATTTCAGTAAACATTTCTAGCATAAGTGATAATTGTACAAGAGTAAATCTGACACTGTGATACTCATTGTTTATCTTTAGTAGGTATTTTCGGCACCAAAACCTTCAAGCACTACCAAAGGGTAATCTGTGAAAGTATTTTCCTCTAGAGTAAAGAACATAATTTGAAAAAACAAGACCACATCTTTAAAGTTCTTAAGTCAATGCCTTAATTTTATTAAATATTAAATTAAGCTCCCCCCATTGTTAATTTGGAATTTATTTTTTTAAATTCAAAATTTGAGTTGATCACTCTAAATCACTAAAATATTAATTTTTTGGTTTGGGTTTTGTTTTGTTTTGTTTGTTTGTTCTTTTTTGGGACCAGGGATTGAAGCCAGCAGCGTTTTACCTCTGAGCCACATCCCCAGCCCTTTTTTATATTTTGTTTAGAGATAGAATTTCACTGAGTTGCTTAGGGCCTTACTAAGTTGCTGAAGCTGGCTTTGAACTTGAGATCCTCCTGCCTCAGCCTCCCACCATTGGGATTATAGGCTTACACCACTATGCCCAGCCAAGATTCTTTTTCATGCGAACTTTTACCCAACAAACTATCTCACATTTTATGCTTAGACAGTAGTATTTTAATTAAGGCAGTAATATATAAATGCAGGATTTGGTTTATTCATGATAAACATCACTTCTTAAGTTCATTTTAATAACTCATCACAATGTTTTTAAATTTTAGATCTCCTGTCTATAATGTTTTATGTATGTTCTTTCTAGCTTATCATCTTGTACAAATGAATTAAAACTTTCTAATCTTTATTGTGATCACTGAAAATATTTAATAGTATATAACCAAAGACAAACCTTTTTGCTTCCTCTCTACTCCACACACCTCTTCTTATTGTTCAAAAAAAACCTGTTCAGTTGTGAATTTACTTTCCTCTACTCTTGTCCTACCTACATTTCTCTCATAAGGTTGTCATGAGAAATCAAAATTCACTGCTGTAGTATTCAGTAGCATTTCCAAAACATTAAAACTTATTAAAAATCTTATCCAAAAGGAAAACTTGGTTAATTTGGACTTTTCTCACCTGACTCAACACCTAGTGTTGGCTTTTTAAATTCTAAGATTTTTCCCTGTGCTGCTGGGAATTAAATCCAGGGCCTTACATATGCCAGCCAAATGCTGTACCACTGATTCAGTGCTGTACAATATTCCAGAATTAGGTACAATCTTTAAATGGCTGCAGAACATGTGAAAATGTTTATTTCACAGTCTGGCTTATTTTACTACCATCCAAGACATAATAGTAACTACTTATTATATTAGTGTGCAGTGTTTTTTTATTATTATTTAAAGGAAAAAAATTTAGTTGTAGATAGACACAGCATCTTTATTTTTATTTATTTATGAATATATGTATTATGTATGTATATGGTGCTAAGCATCAAACCCAGGGCCTCACACGATTGAGGCAAACGCTTACCACTGAGCTATAGCTCCAGTCCAGTGTGCAGTGTTTTTTTAAACGTGGAATTGAACTGTAAATTTGAGATACCAATAAATAATTTATTTTAACAGATCTACAGAAAATAAGGAAATTCTCCCTCTGGAAAATAAAGTTATAGACTTTAGGGGGGAAAAGTCATCTTTGAATTTATCTTATCAAAGTCATGGTTGTTCTGGTGCCTGTCTGATGAAAACACCACCACCTTTCAAGGGAGAAAACCCTCTACAGCTACCAATCAAGTGTCACTTCCAAAGACGACATGCAAAGACAAATTCTCATTCTTCAGCACTCCACGTGAGTTATAAAACTCCTTGTGGAAGAAGTCTACGAAATGTGGAAGAAGTCTTTCGTTACCTACTTGAAACAGAGTGTAACTTTTTATTTACAGACAACTTTTCTTTCAATACCTATGTTCAGTTGACTCGGAATTACCCAAAGCAAGAAGAAAATGTTTCTGATGTGGATATTAGCAATGGAGTGGAATCAGTACCTATTTCTTTCTGTAATGAAATTGATAATAGAAAGCTTCCACAATTTAAGTACAGAAAGACTATATGGCCACGAACATATTATCTAAACAACTTTTCCGACATGTTCACTGATTCATGTGACTGTTCTGAAGGCTGCATAGACATGTGAGTAGAAAAATGTGACATTTCAAAATTTGTAGGGACACTTTTCATGAAGTTCTACTGTGTATCAGTTTGTCTATCTAAATCCTATTTACCAAGAGTCTAAAATAGAAAGTGGTACTTCCTCAGTAGCTATAAGAAAGAAAAAACTGCCAAGTATAGTAATTTGAAAATTATTTCTTCTGAGAATGAGTATTTTCTTTAATCTAGTACCATAATCATAATGATAGCAGTTACATTGCTGTTTATCAGAACCAGACACTGTGACAAAGTCCTTTTCTTATGTCCTCATCACCAAAACCCATGAGGTTGGTAATATTATCTCCATGTTACAAACGAGGAAGTTGAATCTCAGAGAAGTCATTTCAGAGACATCATAGGGCAAACAAATTAAACAATTAGAATTGGAACCCATGTTTATTTGGGATTTTTTTGAGATAGAATGTCATTGTTGGCCCTGGCTAGTCTTAAACTGGGCTTAAGCAATCCTCCTACCTCAGTTTCCAAAGGAGCTGTAACTACAGGTCTTCTCATCACTCTGAGCTAGAACTCATGCTCTTTTTTTGGAAGGGCAGTGGGTACCAGGGATTGAACTCAGGGACACTCCACCACTAAGCCACATCCTCAGCTCTATTTTATATTTTATTTAGAAACAGGGTCTCACTGAGTTGCTTAGCACCTCACCATTGCTGAGTCTGGCTTTGAACTCGCAACTTCATGCCTCAGCCTCCTGAGCCCCTGGGATTATAGGTGGGTGCCACTGTACCCAGGAGAACTCATGTTTTTAACTACTATGTTGTGTTTTACTTTTATAAGTCATTTTAAAAAATCATTTTCTGGCTTTTTAGCAAGTTAATGGTGCTTGAAACTAGTATTCTTTGCTCACAGTATTGACAGTCCATAAAAATTGAAATCATGTTCTAATACATTGAATTTTCAAGAAATATTTTAAGGGTATGCAATGTACATACATTTGAGGGTACACAAATAAGGAGTGGAGTTGTTATATGTACATTTAACTTAATGCGAATTTAGCTACTTGTACTAGGCAAAACAAAGAGAAAAAGAAATAATTTAAATATATTTTCTCCCTCCTATTTCAGGATGGGTATGGTCAGAGACCCCCAGTGGATGCTTGAATCCTTTGATAGTACTGAACCCTGCATAAATTGTTTTTTTCCCCATATGCTCTGCAGGATTACCACATAGTAACAAAGTTAACCTGTCTTTCCAAGGTTTTTGCTCTAGTGCCTCTTTTCCATTCCTACTCACATGTTTTAGGGCCATAATTAAGTAAAATACGGATTACTTGAACATAAACAGTGTGATACCATGACAGTCTATAGGATTTCCAAGAGTGACTAATGGGCAGGTAGAGTACGCAGCATGACAAACGGATGATTAACATTCAAGGTGGGTTTCAGTGGGACAGTATGAGATTTCATCACACTGCTTAGAACAGCATGTAATTTAAAACATAAATTATTTATTTCTGGGATTTTCCAATTTATACTTTCAGACAGTGGTTGACCATAGGTAATGGAAACTGCAGAAACTGAAACCATGGAAAAGAAAAGGCCTACTATAATGTAGATAATAGTTTTCATCATCCTCTCAGTTGGAATATGAAATGAGAGATCCAAATGTGCTGTTAACCTCAGTTTATCTCAGTTCCTTTAAGCCTCTTGTAGAGAAGACCTTTCACTGTCCTGAGTTTATTCAGTTTATATTTATTTATTTGTTTGTTTGTTTGTTTATTTTAGGTCCAGTCATGGTGGCACACACCTGTAATCAATCCCAGTGACTTAAGAGGCTGAGGCAGGAGGATCACAAGTTTGAGGCTTGTCTCAAAAAAAATACAGCATATGGCTCAGTGGTTGAGTGCCCCTGAGTTCAATCCCCAGTACCCCTACCCCCGCCCCAAAAAGAAAAGAAAAGAAATGCAGGAGGCTGGAGGTATAGCTCATTGGTTGAGCACTTGCCTAGCAAATATTAGTCCCTGGTTCAATCCTCAGTACTGCAAAAAAAAAATAAAATAAAATGAGAAATTCCTTTATACATCCAAGAAGAAAAATTAAAAAGATGAAACTTTCAAAAAGATAATCTCTCAGAGTTCTCTATAATTGCAGAAGGATGAGAATCAGATTGAAAAGGCCAACTCTGCATGAAGAAGGGAAAAGAAGATAAATATATATCTAAATATATCATGATTCAACTTTTAAAATATCTGGGTAGAGTAGATCTCAAAAGCTATCAGATAGAAAAAGTTGATTTCCTACAAAAGAAAAACAAACATACTGACAACTTATTTTTATCAGAAATAATGGAAGACTGGGGGTTCAGTTTAAAGTGCTGAAGGAAAATGAACGCAAAATTAGTATTCTGTACCTAGCTGGTTATTTCAAGGGGTGATTTTTTTTTTCCCAGTTACACAGCAGTTGAAGACATGTATATCTACAGTTTATAGCACCAGTATTTTTAGGTAGGTCTGCAGCATTGTTGTCCAAACAACAGGGTTAGTGGAAAGTAAAATTATTTAACTATTTGTATCAGTTATAATTAGCATATTTCAAATTAAATACAATAGAAAATATCCAATTAAATCACATATAATAAGGGTAATGTTTCATGCCACTGTTTCAATTTATATACTTACATATAAATATGTATGTATGCCTATACAAGATCATGAAGCAAATGTATTTTTCACTGTGGTTCATAGTCAAAAATATTTGAAAGCCATTACCTTTAAGATGCTTACACATGTGCATAAAAATAGGGATGCTCATTGCAACATTGTTTACTGAAAAACTGTAAGCTACTTAATAATAAACCAGGTGAGCAAAATAGAAAACTTAAAAGGAATTAATCACATTTTTATATATTACAGATGAATCTCAGAAACACTATGTTGAACAGAAAGCAAGTTATAATGTAATACCTGTAGTAAATTTTTTAAACATGGAAAGCAATACAATATGTTGTTGGTTTGTACATGTGTATATAAGATTATCTAGGATGCCACATCAAATCTCTTGAAGCTTTAGTTTTATCAGTAATGTATTTTTTTCATATATTGGTATCTGTGTTTTAAATTGCATAGGAAAAAAAAGGTGTAAACAAAACACTGACAACTAATTCTGAGTGATAAAAATATGAATGTTATTTGTGTTTTTCTGAACTTCATATATTTTATAAACAAAATCACATTGAAAAAAATCTGGATTTTTACATCCATAAACAGAATCCAACTTAATGAATTTACTATTTTCTCCTTCTATTGCAAATAGCAGTCACTATTTTGATAATGTAATTTTGTTATATATAAAAAACACAGAAGAGGGCTGGGGATGTGGCTCAAGCGGTAATGTGCTTGCCTGGCATGCGCGGGGCACTGGGTTCGATTCTCAGCACCACATAAAAATAAAGATGTTGTGTCTGCCGAAAACTGAAAAATAAATATTAAAAAAAAATACAGAAGAGATTTATAGAGGAAAAGTTAATCTTAATAGGTATGTGAGGAGGAAATATGTGGATTCAATTTTATGGTTACAGGTGCCTAACATCAATTTGAAAATAGGATTCTAGTAGCCAGATGTTTGATATAAGTCTCCAATATGCTTTTATGTCACTGGAGTGAGAAGGAATTTAGGACATCTGCAAAACTGTGATTCTGTGAATTTGACATATCTAAGATTATCTATTGTAGAAAAACAGAGTAACAGAATATTCACAAATGGGTTTCTGCTGAATAAGAGATGATTTCATTTTGAAAAGTTAAAGAAGTCTCATGTAGTTCATTAATCAAATAACTATTCTAAATACAATGATATTCTTTATATTCTTTATTTCATCATTTACACTTTTATCACAATAGTCTCTTAACTTGATGTTTTTGATTCTTATTTTTTCATCCATTCCCTTCCTTTTAGAACAAAATGTGCATGTCTCCAGCTGACAGCAAGGAATGCCAAAAGTTGTCCTTTGTTAAGTAATAAAATTACCACTGGATATAAGTATAAAAGGCTACAGAGACAAATACCTACTGGGTAAGATACCTTGAGGATTTGTTGCAGGGTGTTTATATCTGTGAAGGTGGGTACTTTTTTATTGTGGTCAACAGTCTTACAGATACTGTTTTAATCTGTTTTTAATACCCAAAATCTAAATTATTATGGTTTAATAATTCAGAAAACGCCTATACAGTGTTTTTGAAAATGAAAGTCAGAGACCACATAGTTATCATGCAGAGTATACTCAAACACTAATCTGCATCAAGTCTGGCTCTTAACCCTCTTAGGATCAGCCTACTTTGGGTGGCCATTTCCCCATTAACAAATATACTGGGCAGAGCTCTCTGAAAATTAGGAATTTTCAAGGTTGATATTACCAAATAATATCTTTAGAACAGAAAAGAAGAATTTAACTCCTAGACATTTTTAAAAAACTAAAATTAATTTGCCAGGCATCTGACTTATTTATATTCATGAAATAGCTCAATGTGTAACTACTATTGTATAATCCCCATTTTTTTTTAAGAATTCTTCCTTTTTTTTTAACCTTCATTTTATTTATTTTTATGTGGTGCTGAGGATTCAAACCTGTTGCCTCACACATGCTAGGCAAGCACTCTACCACTGAGCCACAACCCCAACCCTTATAATCCCCATTTTTAAAATGAAAAAACAAAATGAACCCACAGCTGATAAAAGCAAAAGGTATGATGGGTAGACTAGCACTAAGAATTTTCAGGGCTGGGATTGTAACTCAGAGATAGAATGCTTGCCTAGCATATGTAAGGCCCTGGGTTTGATCCTCAACACAATTTAAAAAATAAATAAAGGTATTGTTTCCATCTACTGTTAAAAATAATTAAAAAAAAAAAAGAATTTTCATAATCTGCTTCCTTCAGTGCCAGGAAAGTAGCAGTATAAATTGCTTTGTGCTTCTTGGGGATCTTACTGATTTTCTCTTTTACATATTTTGTTGACAGCATTTATGAATGCAGCTTAATGTGCAAGTGTAATCGACAAATGTGTCAAAACCGAGTTGTCCAACACGGTCCTCAAGTAAGACTACAGGTGTTCAAAACTGAGAAGAAGGGATGGGGTGTACGCTGCTTAGATGACATCGACAGAGGGACGTTTGTTTGCATCTATTCAGGTAAAGCAAAGGCTTGTTTTCTAATTATTCTATAGTAGGATCTACATTTCTGAATATACCTTTTCCTATTCAGGAACCAGTACAACCTGCTCATTTGAAATTCCAGGTTCATTTCAGGAAGGGCAAAAAGAAACTTGTAGTTATTGGCATTCAGGGTAATCACACTTGGATCTCTGCCATGCACCACTTATGTACACACATACCACACAACCTGCCTAGACATTTGTCTCTCATATTTCCCAAAATAACTCTTGAATGGAAGCTGCCTATAATATGCCAAATGATATCAAGAAGCATCATTAGCTCTATCAGCATCATTAGAAATTACACCTAAGGATCTCTGATCTGTCTAACAAGGATGAGTGAGAATAGCCAGTTGTTAATCTGATTTGGTCAGTAAGTTCCTTGAAAGAAAATGCATAAATTTTAGACTAATATTTTAATATTATGCAGGACTTTAATATGAGAACAATAGGTACATACAGCATTATTTTAAATAGGTCATTTTCTAAAAGAGTATAGGTTTCAAATGCTAAAGCCTTTTTAACTAGACAGAAAAGTTGCAATTTTAAGATTAGATTTCACCTCCCTAGAATACTTAGATTCGTATTTTTGTTTTATAGTACTATAGCTAAACTCTTCTCTTTCATGTTATACCAAAATGGGCAAATGCTTCTTTTAGACACCCTGTATTTCTTATGAATGGAAGATAAGAAATACCTTATTGCTTTTTTTTTTTCTTTTTTCTTTTTTTGCTGTCTCACAACATTTTTCTAGGATGAGTTAATGTGTTTCCACAGGATCCTTTGGTCATGGAGCAGAAATAGACATGTCATTTTCTTGTTAGCAATTAGATTATCTTCCATCTTGTTCAAACTCTTTTTTTCTTTTAGGAAGATTGCTAAAGAGAGTCAATCCTCAGAAACCTAATGCTGTTGATGAAAATGGAAAAGAAAAGGATGTTATGAAAAATATATTTTCAAAAAAGAGAAAAATAGAAGTTGCGTGTTCAGATTGTGAGGTTGAAGTTATCACATTAGAATTGGAAAAGCGACCTAAAAGTGCTGAAACTGAGGAATATCCACCTAAGTTTAGTAGTAATTCAAACGAGCCCATTATGTAAGTAAGAACACCAATCACAGTTACTCTTCTAGGAATTAAAAGTGATTCTTTCTCCTTCCTCTTTCTTTCTTATTCTTTTGCCCCCCACTCCTATTTATAATTTTGCTTCACAGTTATAAATTTAATACTTTGAGAAATTCAGGCCACTTTAAATTTAAAAACCTAGCCAACACACTTTCCTCAGGGCCCATTTCTAGAGTTTTGCCTTGGATGATTTTCAGCAGGATGTCATGACATTTGCTTTTGTTGTTTGTTTGTTTTCTTTTGTTTCATATTGCCATTGATTTGCAAAACTTTTATAGATTCTCTTTTTTTAAACATACCTCAAAAATTATTGACTTGTCAGGCTCAGTGGTGCATGCCTGTAATCCCAGCAGCTCAGGAAGATTGTGAATTCAAAGCCAGCCTCAGTAAAAGTGAAGCACTAGGACTGGGGATATAGCTCAGTTGGTAGAATGCTTGCCTTGCTTGCACCACAAAGAAATAAACAAAAGTGAGGCACTAAGCAACTCAGTGAGACCCTGTCTCTAAATAAAATACAAAATAGGGCTGGGGATGTGGCTCAGTGGTTGAGTGCCCCTAAGTTCAATCCCCAGTCCTCCCCCCTAAAAAATTATTGACTTTTAAATAAATTTTCTCCTCCAGTGAAGGGTAGTTAGAGGTGTTCTTAATTTAATTATTAATATTATGTACATTTTAAGGTCCACTAAAGAGAATTTTTAGTGATATGCAAAATAACCTTTTTTTTTCCCTTTCAGAGAGATGAACTATAACAACATCTCAAGAACTCAGTATCATTCAGTTATTAGAAGTCCTAAATCCAAGACAGCCATTTTTCCACATAATGGGAAAAAGGTGGTAAAAACTGGAAAATGTAGATGGGGCCCTTCTGAGACCATTAACTGTTATCTTACATTTCTATCTTTACTTAGTTTAAAATGTTTATGTTAGTTAATATTATGTAGAATTTCTTGTATTATTTTGCAATGGTATGCTGTTGAAGTTTTAAGACATATTTTATTTACTTAGTATTGTTCATAGCAGTTGCATATTTCCAACTTAGCTATATGAGGAGAATTTTAAGTTAATAGTGATATAAAAAAGAAAAGTGATGGAATAATTTAGATTAAAGAGAAAGTTGTTTTGAGATACAAGAGAAAAAAGAGCTGCAATTTTATAAAAGAATCATCCAGAAAGCATTGTTTTACATGGTAGCCTGAGGATATACTTTTCAAATTGAGCTGAGAAGACTAGTCAGACTGAAACTTGGAAGAAGAAAAAGATCTAGGAAAAAGAACAGAGACAGACAAAATGATAGCTTACAATAGGGCTTGTTGGTGAAAAATAAAAACTTGGATCTATGTGTACAAATACTTGCCCTCTGCCTAGTAACAATACAGTAATAACCTTCTCAGTATCATATGGTTTATGGAAAGATTAAGCCAGTAGTTGTAATCTCCAGCTCTGATGCTAGTTTAACCTCCAGCTCTGCTGCTTACTAGCTAGCAGACATCTCCATGGGTGCTTTCCTTTTATCTGTAAAATGAAGATAATAGAATCTATCTCAAGAATTCTGAAGATTAAATGAGAAAAATAACAGAAAACTTTCCTAGCACAATGCTTGGCACTCAACTAAGTGTTCAATAAATATTGACATTTCAAGTACTATGAACTTGAAGAGAAAAAAATAATGGTCAGCACTTATTGAGCAATTAGTTGTGTGCTGAGCTAAACATACACCCTTCTGTTGAAAGCATCACATTTAAGGGGACTCCATTGGCTACAATGCATAAAAACAAAATTCTTTAACCTTTTCTTTGAGGTGGAAACTAGCCAGTATATTTTTAATCCTTGCACAATTTACAGTTGAAGCCAAATTATAATCTTACACAGCACTTATCTCAGTTATGAAGGATGATTTGAATTGATAAGTACAGAAAGATGTATTGGATTTATTAAAATCCAGAGAATGTTCTGAAAGTCTTCATAGCTATACCTTTAAAAAGTGCCTAGAAATAGAACATTTTGAGAAGGGGTAACACACATTGGCTCCATTAGTCTAAAGATTCTTATAATCTTAATTGTGAAGCTTTTCAAAATTAACTAATACGTGTAGCCTATGAAAATTGACATTTGATGAGACCTAACTGCTAAATACTTTTTCCTAACCTAGGAAGTAAAGATATCTCTTATTTTCCTTTAAGGGATTTGTTTCTTTAGAGTCTGCCACCTCAGAAGATAATGATGGATTTAAACCAGCCCAAGCACATGTGAACTCTAAAACCAGGGGAGCACAAAGTAGGCTATGTTTCACTTTATCATTATCTCTCATCTGCCTATTTGTCTCTCTCTTGTTCAATAATCTGTGGCTCATTTTCTTAGATTTCATAGCAAACATGCTGCATTTGTGATCAAAGTTACTATTTGTTTAGATAAAATATTGGCCACCTGTGGTTTATACAGGCCTACTACCTATATATGTGTGTAGGCTGTGAAAGAATGATTTTTACATTAAAATAGTTGGAAAAAATCAAAAGGTAAATATTTTATGACACTTGAAAATTAAAATTTCATTGTCAGTAAATAAAGTTCTACAATCATTCATTTACATATTGTTTCTACTTTCACATTACACCCACAGATTCACAGTAGACTCTGGCAAAGCCTGAAGTATTTGCTGTTTGCCCCTTTACAGAAAACATTTGCTGACCTCTGATCTTGTTGCCAACATTGACTTGATGCATGGCAGTAGGAGTAAGGTGGACAATTCTGACTCTTCATGGTCCACAGGTGGTGTTTGTGGCTTTGTAACCATTGTTTGTTTAAAGGAGACACTCTTTCTTTTGAAGTCTTAAAAATAAAGACATCACTCTTTTGCAGTAGTCTAGCCAACACCACTATAGAGGATGACAAATATGTCTAGCAAAGGGCTAAAATGCTGATGAGTGCTTGTCTTTCAGAATTACCAGTCTCCGCCATGGTGAATATTACAATTATATAATATTAAGTACCAAAAACTGGGTTTTGGTACTTTTATGTTTCAATGGATCCCACAGTAAGGAGACATTACTGAGAGAGAGTCCTTTTTGAAGAACTGAACAGCCATTGCTGCCTCTTCTTTGAGCCTCCTTGCATCTGCAAGCCTAAATCCCCACCTATTAAAGGATAGAAATTGGAAGAGGCATGGCAGCGCCTTGGTAGAAAAGTCCTATCAAGGGGCTGAGGCTGTGGTTCAGAAGTAGAGCGCTCGCTAGCACGTGCGAGGTGCTGAGTTTGATCCTCGGCACCACATAAAAATAAAGATGTTGTGTCCACCGAAAACTAAAAAATAAATATTAAAAAATTTCTCTCTCTCTCTCTCTCAAAAAATAATAAATAAAAACAAATAAAAATAAAGGTTAACAAAAAACTCCTGAAGCTTTAAAAAAAAAAAAAGTTCTATCAAGAAAGGGCATTTTTATGTATTACATTCCAACATTTAATGCATGTGAGCCATAATGAATACTATTGCTTCTGATTCTTTTGTCATTATCATTGATGTCTATAGTGCATATAAGCAGGCAGTCCAAATATAGTTATATAATTATTATGGCTTATAAGTAACCTTTGATTAAAAGATATTGTAGGATGGCAACCACAACAATAATGATTGAAATAAGAGCCTTAATTTTTTTTTTTTTAGATTTTTTATATATATAGTTTAGTTGACGGACCTTTATTTTATTCATTTATTTATGTATGGTGCTGAGAATTGAATCCAGTGCCTCATAGATGCTAGGTAAGCACTGTACCACTGAGCCACAACTCCACCCCGAAGAGTCTTAATTTTTAAAAAAATATAATTTATTTTCAACAAGTTTTTATTTTTAATTAACATGTTAAAAATACATATTTATGGGGTACAGTTTGACATTCAATACTTGTACACAATGTGTAATAATCAGATCAGGGTGATTGGTATACTGTCACCTCAGACATCATTTTTTTGTATTGGAAACATTAAAAATCCTTTCTACTAGCTATTTTGAAATATACACTTAATTATTGTTCACCAAAATTATCCTGCACTGTGTAGAACATGAGAAGTTATTCCTCTTATCCAGCTGCACCCACAAATTTGTTAGCCATCTTCTCTCTGTGCCCTTCACCCCACACCAGGTTCTGGTAACCACAATTTAATCTTGGCTTCTATGACATTTTGGCCAAAATGTAATTTTGTTATATGATTGACTTAGATGATACAGTGACTTTTTTGTTTATTTGTTTGTTTAATAAGTGATTTTACTTACTCCATCCTACATGCATTCATACTTTTGAATACTCTAAAAAAATCCATTATTGGATGTTAATTAGTTCTCTACTTTTGAATTATCATTATTTGTAAAAGTGTAATTATTGAGTGGTCATCTAGCAAAACACCAAACTTAATATGTACCAATCCCTGGTGGTTGGTACATACTTGTTGCTATTGGGATTTGTAGAGGGTGATTCTGATTCTGAAGGGGACTTCTCAGGCCTTTCATTGGCACATAAAAGCCTAGAGTGCTTCTTAAACCTCCATTCTGTTACATTTAAATGCAAATTCCAGAGTTAAAGAAAAGAAAGTTTGTTAGAGATTAAACATGGTAATGTGGAAGCAACTTGTAGATTCATAGTCATTGCTGTGTAGTAGAAAGAAGGCAGGAGCCAAACATATTTGAGTTTGTTACCCAAATTCTCATTATTATGAGTCAGGCAAATCTCTTTACCCAACTAAGACTCAAAAGTTTCATTTGTAAATTGAAACTACCTACCTTAATACATTGTAAAGATTAATGATAATGATAACAGGTAGCATCTAATTAATATTGTTAATCTCATCACCATGTTCAACCAAGTAAATTTTCTGACAATTCTTTCTTGACAATATCTATTAGAGAACTCAAGATTCAACCAAGTTGAAGATTCTGAGGACAATCAGCTGATTGAATCAGATGTAATAGATATGACTACATGTAGAGAAGAAACTCTGCCAGGGGGCAGATGTGACCAAGCAACCACATTGGATAATGAAAATGTTAAAGAATTTGAGGTTCAAATAAAAAAGCCCCAAGAGGAAAAATCTCCAGTGTGTAAAAACCAGCAGGTTTATCATGATGAAGAGTTGACATGTGATACCAAGAATACTTCGTCTGATTCTCTAATGAAGTCCAGTAAAAGCAATGTTTTTTTACTGGATGCCACAAAAGAAGGAAATGTGGGCCGTTTCCTTAATGTGAGTATAGGGACTGAGATGCATATTTCTAAACAACTTTTTTTCACATGCTTTAAAAAATCATAAGGGTAATATGATTAACAGACAGTCCTGGGGCTGGGGATGTGGCTCAAGCGGTAGCGCACTTGCCTGGCATGCGTGCGGCCCGGGTTCGATCCTCAGCACCACATACAAACAAAGATGTTGCATCTGCCGAGAACTAGAAAAGAAATAAATATTAAAAATTAAAAAAAAACAAAAAAAACAGACAGTCCTAAAGCTAGACAACCTGCGTTAGAAGTCCAGCACCCAACTTGGGTGTTCATGGCATGTTACTCAAGTTCTTGCTGCCTCATTTCCTATCTTTGTAATAGGGGATAATAATAACTATTAGTATATTATGAGGATTAAATGAATTAATATAAAGTGTTTCCGACTACCTAACACATACCAAACATTTGCTTTAAAAAAAAAAGAAAGAAAAAAAACACTAAGAAATAGTGTGTAAAAAACATACCAGAGGTTTCTGTCTATCTGCTCAAGTTAAAAAAAAAAAAATGTATGGGCAGGAAGTAATCATTGAAATTAAATAATGCCAGACATTCCACAGAACATTGTAGGGATTTGATCTCTTGAGAATTTTTTGATTCATAAGTGTGCTGAGATGACAGCTAATGGGCACCTGAACAGTATGAGAATGGTGGTAATATAAAAAGAGTATCATCATGTTAGAAACCTTAGAATGAAGATAAATGGTTTTGTTCAGCAGAGAATCAACTGCTTACACGACTCCTCTTCTAAGGCGGTATTTTTTACTAGGATGTAAAAGTTATTAAGTAATTATTTTATGAAAAAGTAAATTATTTTCATACGTACTATTCCTATAAAGAGTCTTCATTTTAAACTTTTTGTGAAAACTTTGCTTTAAAAAATAATTCAAAAAGCCCTACCTTGAGAAGTATTCTGCTCCCATTTACCTGCCTCCACTCCACTTTCTAAAATAGTCATAAAGTTGACTATAAAAAGTTATGACATCTTTTTTGTGCTTTCTTCTGGTATTTTTCTGCAAATATGAGTAAATATATGTGTATTGTTTGTTCCCTCCTTTTTACAGACAGGATAGCATATTCACTGTTTTATATTTTGCTTTTTGAATTAACACTATATATTGGAGATCTTTCCATATCAGTACACAGAGAGAGCACCTCATTTCTTTGGTTTGCATGGTTTTGTTCATAGCTACATAGAATTGCATTATATCAATGTACCAAAGTATAGGCAAACATTAGCATTATTTCCAAACTTTTACTGTTAAAACCAATGCTGCATGAATAATCTTATACATGCATACATACATATGCAGAGTAACCTGTAGAATACATTTTTAAATATGAATTTGTTGAATCAAAAGATAAGTGCATTTATAGTGATGATAAATATTGACAAATTACTCACTTTTTTGAATACATTTTGCATTTCTATCACCAGGATATCAGAATGTCAAAACAGGGCTTTTCTGCATGGGTTTCTATTAATAGTACTGTCATGAACTTTTTTAGTATTTTATATAGTAATAAAGAAAAAAGAAAAAATCAGTGAGATGCGTTGGAAACAGAATGGTATTCTAGTAGTGCAAAACACAAGGTAGCAAACTTTGTGCTATATCTAATCTCTGTGTTTTTGTTTGTTTGTTTGTTTGTTTGTTTGTTTTTAACAGCATAGTTGTTGCCCAAATCTCTTGGTACAGAATGTTTTTGTAGAAACACGTGACAGAAATTTTCCATTGGTGGCATTCTTCACCAACAGGTTTGAAATTGATTTTGCTGTTATGATTTAATTCTGAAATTATGATTTTAAAAATAACCATAGAAAATATATAAAGATGTGTAATATAGCCCCAAATATCTGGTATCCTGGAATATTCAATTATCCTAAACTCTTCCTAGTCAATAAAATTTTGAACACTTGAAATTTCTATTCTGTTCTCACTTAGTATTAATTAATGATAGGTTTTAAGATCTCACCCAATTCAGTTGAGGGAGATGAATGACAAAAAGTGCTATATCTTCTTTATCTTATAATTGTCCCCAATCTGTTACTTTACATAGATTCACATTTGCAAAACACGCTTCCTCCCTCATGGATACTAACAGATTCCTTCTTTCTTAGGATTTTAGTAGATATGAAATAATCAAATAATCATTCTTTTTTTTTTTTTAATATTTTGTCTTAGTTGTAGTTGGACATAATACCTTAATTTTATTTATTTATTTTTATGTGGTACTGAGGATCGAACCCAGTGCCTCCGCACATGCTAGGCGAGTGTTCTACTGCTGAGCCACAACCGCACCCCCAATAATTGTTCTTAATAAAAGATCATTACTGGGGCTGGGATTGTGGCTCAGCGGTAGAGTGCTCGCCTAGCACATGTGAGGCCCTGGGTTCGATCCTCAGCAAAATAAATAAATAAGTAGATAGATAGATAGATAGATAGATAGATAGATAGATAGATAAGTAAATAAATACATATCTAACTACAACTAAAAAATAAATATTAAAAATAAATCATTCCTAACTGATGGATGCTAGGGAGAGAAAATAGATCATATTATTAAGATGGTTATTGATGTTAATGTATAAATTGACATTCAATTTTGATTCATTTGATAGTTATTTAAGGTAGTTATGATTATTTTTCATTTCTACTTTCTAGGTATGTGAAAGCAAGAACAGAACTAACGTGGGATTATGGTTATGAAGCTGGGACTATGCCTGACAAAGAAATACTCTGTCAATGTGGGGTTAATAAGTGTAGGAAAAAAATATTATAAAAATGTAACTAATGCCTGTTCATGAAGTTAGATAAGGCTCAAATTGGAGCCATACAAAAGAATCCTCAGTCATCAGTGGAATTAATGTAGGTTGCTGTACACCAAGGTAATTCTCAACTTTTTCTTTTTTTAGGATTCATATTGTATTTCTATTTTATTTGATTAAATTCCAGACTCAAAATAAGAACATTTTCATATGCACAGGCTATCCTTGTTTTTACTGCTGTTCAACTTTACTTGAGTACAATGGAAATGTATATTTTATATGAAATATCACTGTATAATTTATAACTTATTTACAAATTGTATATTAAGAAAAATAGAATTCAGTAGTTTCTAAGTTACTTTTTTAATCACTATTATTTAGTTTATACCTGCAAGGACCAAATTTCACATCTACTTACAAAATTGATGTTTAATTCCTGGCACATCATTATAGGCTACAAGGTGGGCAACAGAACCTGAGGGATATGTGAGAACTAATTTTATACTTCCAAGGTGTGCAGTTTTTGTTTTTTACCCCTAGTGCTAGGCCTCATGCCTGCTTGGCCAGTGCTGCACCACTGACACACACACACACCCCCAATTCTCCCAAGTATTTTAATACTTGTTAAGAGAGACTATATCTGGCTCCATGAAACTGTCCCATCAATCATTTGGGGAGGAGAGACTCTTCAGTAAGTTAAGTTTCTGACAAACTCTTTGGTGTTTTTGTTTTTTGGGTGTGGTACTAGGGATTGGACCCAGGGCCTTGTGCATGAGAGGCAAGCACTACACCAGCTGAGCTATATCCCTGGCCCTTGACAAATTCTTTGATTCAACTCTTTGAGATTAATCCTCTTTTCCAGTTTCCCTTCACTCCTTCAATGCAGACAAGATAAGCGGAATAGAAACTTAGAGAAAATTGAATATTTTGTTCTAAAGAGAATAAAACTATAAGTAAAAGAAACCTTGAAACTAGAAGGAATTATCCTGGGCAAAATTTCACATCAAAAATATAACAAAATAACAATTTTGAGCTTCAGAGTCTAAAACAGCCTCTTGGTATATCCTGGGCATGGTTGGTTGTTTTTGTAGAAAAAAGGGGAAGTTAACTACTTTGCTGTAGGCTAACCCTGATCATCTAGTGGAAAAGGGGACTGTGAAGCTCCAAGAATCAAAAATTAATTTTATCCCTTCCAGAAAAAGTACATTTAACTCCTAGGAACTTCTCCTAAGAACCAGGTGGTACTATTAATTTGAAAAGGAGTAATTAAATGGAGACCGAAGCAGGAGGAACACAAGTTCAAGGCTAGACTAAGCAACTGGGTAAGACTCTGTCAGAAATGAAAAAGGATTGAGATGTAGCTCAATGGTAAAGCTCCCCTGGGTTCAGTCCTCATTATGGGAGATAGGAAGGGATTTCTTTTTTGAGGGGTTTATGTCTTTTTGTTGTGTTACTTGATTTGGGGTTTAGTTTGATTACCTTTCAAACAAATCTATTTTAAGTTGGGACCCAGTTTCTTAAAAATATTGAACCAGATGAAAATTGAACTTGGGAAACCAAGAACTAGGAAAAGTAGCCAAAAAATTAAAACCCAGTTGTCTATAGACAGATGAGTCAAGTTGAGAAATCTGTGTATTTACAATAAAGATGCAGGAATTTTAGGCAGTATGCTAAAATAAAGTGAGAAGTTTAGTCAAATATTTTTGTGCAGGAAATATTATAGATCAGCCAGTATTTCCTTAAGATCTGCTTTAGGAGTCCATCTAACACTCATAAACCTGAAATATTCTATCAGTTTTATCCTCTTTGAGAAGTTTCTCCAGAAATTGTGATCTGCTTCATTCTCGATTATTTTACAGCTAGCATCTCACTTCAGTACCCTAGAGATTTGCTTTGTCTCTCATGTCAGATCTGTTTCTAGTTTCCCTTTCCTTAGTCTACTCTTTTATGTTGGTGAAGCATAGCCTCCAATAGCTTGTTACTTTTGTTTTTTGGACTCGGGATTAAACCCAGGTACACTTTACCACTGAACTATATCGCCAGCCCTTTTTATTTTTTATTTTTGAAAAAGGTTTCACTAAGTTGCCCAGGCTGGCCCCAAACTTGCAGTCCTCCTGCCTCAACCTCCTAGGTGGCTGGGATTATAGATACATGCCACTACACCTGACACCAGTAACTTTTGAAGAAGATAAGAAGTAAATGTTTTGAGACTCTGCACTTTGAAATGTCTTCATTTTATTTTCTTGATTGCTATTTTCGGCAGGGTATAGAATTTTTACCTCTCTTGAAGTTATAGGATTAATTTTGTCCCAGTGTTTGTCTCTGGTCAGAGTCCATTTTCATCCTTCTACTGGTGTTTGATGAGATCTTTTCATCTTAAAACCTTGTTTTTCAGTACAGAAACCATTTCTTGAAGACTTTCTCATCTCTTTTTGGAATTCCTGTTACCAAAATGTTAGATCTCCAGTATTGGTTCTCCGGTTTTCTTTCTACTGTTCTCTTAATTTCCAGCTCTGTCTTCCTGCTTTTTCAGTATCCTAGAAGGTACTGAAGAGTCCTTTTGATTTTTATGGTCTCATTTTTAATTTGTAAGAATTCTCTTTTTTTCTTTTAATATTCTTTATAACATCCTGTATTGGCCCATGTTGCAGTATTTTATATTTTTGTGTGTGTGCATATACATACATATACATGCATTCATATGTCTTATTTTTTTCTTACATATTCTCTGTCCTCTCAGCTTTGTTTATTTTCCTTCTGTTTGTTTTGTCCCTTAACATTATAGGGCTTTCTTCAGAGTTAAGAGAACATTGCAGTCTGAAAGAGAGAAAAGGTTCCTGGATGGCTTTACCATGCCTCAGCTGTTTTGCTGAGAAATCCTGTGGGCTCAAGGGTTTTCTTTTCTGCCTGGCAAGGCATACTTCTCTAACCTCCTGTGGGAAAAGCCAAAAAAAAAAAAAAAAAATCGTGTGCCTAGGGTCTGCTCATTTCCCATTTGCAACACCTCTGCCCCCAACCCCCATGACATTCTTCTATAATACATTCATACTTGTCAAGACTGTCGAAATTACATTTTTTGTTACCCCAATTTTGCATTTGCAGCTTAGAAACCTTCACCAAGTTCAAGACCTGCAGAAGTTTTCCTTTAATTCTGCAGCAAATTAATTTTTATGCTTCTATTAATTTTAAGTTATAATTTAATATATGTATTTATGTTGTGTACACGTATATTTATTATATGCACTGAAAACCTCGTCTTGTGTGGTGCTCTGTATCCAGTGGGTGCTAAATAAAGGCTTGCTCCTGGCAACTGGATTTAGGGTCGGTTAATTCTGCGTTGGTTTAAGATAGGGCTATTTAGGCCAAATGGTGTGAACGAGTTTCAGAAGAACCTCAGAACAGCGCAGCTGTGGGAGGGGGGTAGGGGCACTGGCATATGTAGTCGTTTCTGGGGTTTTGTTGTTATTTGTTTGGGTTTTGTTGTTGTTGTTGTAGTTTAACCTACCAAAATAACCATTAGACCTGGAAAACTGCGAGAAACCCCCCTCCCCACAGCCAACCTGGGTCTTCGGCTCGAGTTTTCCTTGCGGCGGCTCCGGGGAGTTAAGGAAGCGAGGGCGCCGCCGGGACTTCCGGGAGCGCGCCACGGGCCACCGCCGACAGGCTGCCGGACCCGCAGTCTCGGCCATGGCCCACGCATCCCCGCCCCGCGCCGAGTCCGTGCGCCGCGCCGGCGGCCCCGAGGTGCACCCCGTGCAGGACGGGCTGCCCTTCCCCACCGGTGAGTACCGTGCGGGCGGCTGGGCCGGGGCTGCGTTGCAGCCGCGCGGGGACCCGAGTCCCTTCTCGGCCTGCTCAGGGCCGCCAGGGACCCGCGGGACGAACTTGCCCTGCACTCGCGCTTGCTTGCACAGAGGGTCCAGGGAGAAGGGGAGGGCGGCGTGCGGCTACTTGCAGTGGCTTTGATTCTCCTTCTGGCCTGCTGACATTTCACCGGGGAGCAGTGGACCAGGTGCTCCTGGCTCTGATTCACTGACTGCAAGCGACCGAAACTCAGGGAAACTGAAACTCCCAAGTGAGATTCCACCCACTGGTAAAACCCTGCCGCAGGAGAGCTGCCCTGCTGCGGGGAAGCTGGAGTAAACAGGCCGCAGGGAAGGGACGCTACTGGCAGCTGAGTCTCAGGAAGCGGCTGGGAAAGACCTCGTAGAGGACGTGACTGGACACCATTTCCTTTGCTCCAGTCCTCCTGGGCCCTCAGCTTGAATGAGTGTTCTGAGTGGGCCTCTTCCCTTCAACACCTGTAGCGCTCCTGCGATTTGCCAGGCTCAGGGCTAGTCATAAGGACTAGGCAGTCCCTACTCCAGAGGATGTTAAGAGGCAACTTTAGTTAGAAGTAGTCAGCACCACAGAGGCACAAATGAGAGGCCCCTAACTTCTCCTGATGTCCAAGGAAAACTTTATAGAGAAGGGGATGCATGGTCTTAACTTTCTAAAGGATAAGAATCAGCCATAAGTGGAAAAGACAAATAAGAGGACACAAATAAGAGCATCAAACCATAAAACAAATGGCAACCATAAGCCAACCAGTTGACTGTTTCATTCAACTAATACGTATGTATATGGACTGCAAAATGAGAAGACAGAGAGATGATGTTCTTTCCTGACATCTTCCCCAAACTCCAGGATTTTAAACCAATTTCCATGTCTGCAGTGATCTCAAACTAACTACATCCTTAAGAGAATTTGTCTTCCCTACACTGCAAACTTGTTCAGCCCCCAGCTTTCCCCATTCCATTCATCCAGTTGCTCAGGTCAGAAACTTTAGTGGTATCCTTAGCACCTTTCCTTTTTCCCCATACCCCATCCAACACATCAGTTAGGCCAATTACTTCTATCTTCAAAATCTGTTTCATGCCTGACTACTTCTTAAACACCTCCATTACTCCATCCACACCCAGGCTGTCATTGTCTCTTGTCTGGACAACTGGGCTCCCGTTTTCTCTTCTAGCCTTTCATACAAGCAGGCCTGTAGAGCAAGGCACTTTTCCTGTTCTAGTTGTCTCCCATTACAGCTCACCCCATGTTCTTTTCTGATTTGACTTTACCCATCTTGATGACTGCCACCCCCTGCTGCCTTGTGTAAGGCAGTAAGCTACCAAATCTGCTTCAGTATCCTTATATTTGCTGTTCCCTCAGTAAGGAAAATTCATCCACATATTGTCCCATTTTCATTTCCCCACCACACTTAAATGTCTGCCTATTTCCTGAACCTTGCCTGCCCATCTTGTCTAAAATGCAGTCTTTGATTACTGATTACCTCTTCCTACTCTTTCTCTATGGACTTACCACTGTCTGGAGGGGAAAATTTTATTTAATGTCTTTCTTTGCCACTGGAATTTAAGTTCCGAAAAAGTTGATACATTAAATCTTTTCTATATTCTTAGTGCCTAGAACTATTTGCTTTGTAGTATAGGGCATAGGAAGTCCTCATCAAATATTTGTCAAAAGAATGAAAGGGCTTGTTTATAACACTAAGGAATTTGGCTTCTGCTTTGTTGGTAATGAGAAAATGTGTGCAGATAGACACTTTATTTTTTATAGAGCTGAGGATCAAACCCAGAGCCTCATACATGCTAGGCAAGTGCTACACCCTCAATCTCAGATTATACATTTTAGATAAATCACTCTGGCAGTATCAGGAGGACTGGAGCACAGTCGTGATAGAGAAAGCAGAGGCAAGGACATGAGCTTATCAGAATGGACTCAGAAAACAGCAGGCAAGGTACATCTTCCACACTTGCACCAGAACAGCACACACGAGTGTGCACACAAGTCATGGGAATTTAAGTGTTAGTCAAGACTTGCTGACTGCAGATAGTACAAACACAGTGTAATTTAAGCAAAAAAAAAAAAAAAAAAAATGCTGTTTAGTAAGAAGCTGTTCTGGGCTGCCCTTCTGCTGATCATCCTGAAATTCACTGAGATGGCCTGGTGATAAATCAGGATTTGCAGTTAGTTACAAGTTAAGAATTCAACCACAATGACTTCAGCAGGAAGCATAGACAGCCTCAAACCCCCAGAACACAGATGTTGTAGCATTTTTCAGAAAGGGCCCCAAACTAGGGCAACAATATAACCATATAACAATATATCCTACTAGAAGGGGTTTTTAAATGAATGTTAAAGGTTAGTGGATCTCATTCCATCTGTTTCCTTTATTAAGTGGCAGAATGTGTTCCTTGGCCACCTACCTGGCTACACCCAGATTCTGCCTGGTGGTGGATTGCCCTTGTCTGATGGGCTTAAGACCAGCTCTAGGTAGAGCAGCATTGATTGGGGAGGATAGGCCTATAGAAGTTGAAGCCTTAGCAAGCTGTTCCCAGGTATGGTGGGCCTGCAGGTTGCTGGAGAGTCTGGAGCATTGCTGTGATTTGAGTTTCTTATAATTTTTCTGCCGCTTCATTCTATAGACCCTTTCTTACCGATCTGTCAGGTCAATCTGTTGAGTCCACAGGCTTGCTAAATCTGCTAGGATGACTCTGGGGGGCTCTGCTGATCTTTACTGTTCTTAGCCTCAGCTACTAATAGAGACCAATGGGCTGGTCCCTAAAAACCCAAACACCCATGACACACCTACAGGTATCCAATCTATCTGAATCTACATAGTTCCTGATTTCAGATGGCTAAGGGACCAAGTTGTCTAAATGTACTTGGTCCAGAAGTTCCAAATAATGTATATAGAGAGTTAAGATAGTGAAGGATTGCCTGCCTATGTAAGAGCCCCCAAAGTGACAAACTCTCCCAATTACATCCTTCCTCCAGACTAGAAGAATAAATGAACTAGAAGAGCTAAAATATTTTAGGAAATGTGATATAGGGGTAGTTGAGCAGAAAAATGCCACTATGAGAGCCCATGAGTCTTACCTTGAGTTTATTCATTGGTGCTGCAGACACACTCCAGGTCAGTTCATAGCAGTGTGGTGACCACCTCTATATTCTCACATGCCGGGGTCCTAGGAGCCCAAATACTTAGGAGTGCAGATCAGATGGGGCACAGAGCCCCCAGAGTGAGTGCTGGAGGCCCTGCTTGGATATCAGCCCATGCAGCACATCTGTCTACAGATGACCTTCAGCTGTGCACAGAAAAGAGGACCTTAAAAAAAGTGTCCAACTCTTATACAATAAGGAGTAGGTGCATAGTCTGTCAGACACTGTTTTTTTAATATATATATATATTAAATATATATATACATATATATTAGATGTCCCTTGTAGATGGACACCGTACCTTTATTTTATTTATTTATTTTTAAGTAGTGCTGAGGATCGAACCCAGTGCATCATATGTGTTAGGCAAGCACTCTACCACTGAGCTACAGCCCCAGCTTCTGTTAGTCAGTTTCCGGCTGTGACAAAATACCCAAGAAAAACAAAGGAGGAAGGGTTTATTTTGGCTCATGGTTTTAGAGAGTTTCAATCCACGGTGAGCTGGCTCCTTTGTTTTAGGCTTGAGGCAAGGCAGTAACATCATGCTGGAAGGGTCCAACTAAGGAAAGCTTCTCAGTTCATGGCAGGCAGACAGGAAGAGGAGAGAGCAAATGCACAAGAAATGGACCTGGGACAAGATATACCCTTCTAGGGCATACCCCTACTTCCTCCAACCAGGCCCCATCTCCTATAGCGAGATGTGAAAATACAGAGATGGTCACCACACTGCTATGAACTGACCTGGAGTGTGTCTGCAGCACCAATGATTAAACTCAAGGTAAGACTCACGGGCTCTCACAGTGGCTTTTTTCTGCTCAATTACCCCTATATAACATGTCCTCACCTTCCAATAATCCATTCAGTTATGAACCCATCAATGATCCATTGATTAAATCAGAGCCATTATGTCCCAACTACTTCCCAAAAGTCTCATCCCTGAACCTTGCTGAATTGGGGACCAAGCCTTCACCACACAAGCCTTTGGGAGACATTCTAGATCCAAACTATAACAGAGTGTCACATATTATTGTGGGAAACGTGACAGTCTAGGGAATTTTAGCACTAATAATGTAACTGCCTGACACTGTCTTTCTGAAGCCTGTGCTTTGTAAGGTTTTTGGTTTTGGTTTCAGTTTTGGGTTCTTTTGGCAGGGAGGGGCTAGTGTTAGGGATTGAACCGGGGATGCTGTACCACTGAGTTATATTACCAGCCTTTTTTCTTTTCATTTTGAGACAGAATCTCATTAAATTGCCCAGGCTGACCTTGAACTTTGTGTTGCTCCTGCCTCATCCTCCTGAGTTGCTGGGATTACATGCATG